ACTCTAAAAAAGTAACAATTGAAAATTTTAAAGCGTTGGTTCTTGGTATATTAGAGCGGTTTTCACTTGACTGTCGTAAAACCAAAACCAAAGTAAATACACTAGCCAACCAAAGGGCGTAGTAAAACCAAAACCAAAACCAAAACCAATCCCTTTCGACAGTCAAGTGAAAACCGCTCTATTTCAGTGCAGCTGTCACAAGACAAGTAAACATATCCACACCATTAAGGCCTATCATACACTTCAAAAGGAAAACTGGGTCCATAAAAAGTCTCTTTGAGGGTAAGGAAAGGACAAAAAGGAAGTTCACACTGAGGTTCAGTTCCTGAAGTCTCTCTCTCAATAAGATCTAGACTGTCTTTTATGATCAGTTTTTTAGCTCTTCTCTGGACTCTTTCAATCGAGTCAATCAAAAACTGTTGATGTGGAGACCAGACTTGACAGTTCAATATGTGGTCTGACTAGATCAATGTATTAAGCAGTGCATGGGTTTAGGTACAAGTACCAAAAGTTCTATAAAACGTAGGACTTTATTTGCGATGTTTACTTTGGATTGTGGCTTATTAACGCTCCTACATGCAAGTCTTTTTCCCCCGTTCTGTTTGCTTTGTCAGGCAGCTGGTGGCTATTGTGAGAAATGTATGAAATGTGCCATGAGCTAAAAGGGAATAAGCTGAAGAAGTATCCATTACTTAATTAGCAATTAATGAACGAGCGAGGTTGTGTAGGATATGATTAAGCGAGCGAGAGGGTGTTTCCACCAAGGCCGAAGGCCGAGGTGGATAAAACCCTCCGAGATTCGCTTAATTCTTCATGTCCTAAGAAAGCCGAATTTATTAATTGCTTTATTATTCATTCAAAATAATTCCTAGTTTAAAAACATAGCTAAAACATGCTTACCTGCATCGATGTTAAGTTCATGTTCGATTGTGTACGTTTAGGTTTGTCCAGCTCCGCAAATATTCTCCAAATAGCAGATGTCGCCCTCCTAGTTGTCTTCTTGCTGTTTTTGCCATGTTTCTAGCCATTATTTCGCCTAGTCCCAGCTGTAGTTCTTACTCTTGAAACAAGGGAAATGTCCGCCATTTTTTTTTCACAACCAAAACAACTCAACCTCGTCCCCAGGTCTTCTCGGTAACGGTGCCATAACCTCCAGCGGGCAGCATTTTTGAAGTCATTTCCTCGTTAGACACAAAATTCTTCCAAATTTGGTCATCAGTGACTGGTTATGGTGAATTATGCGTGTGCTTTTAGCCAATCAGAATTGGGGAAATATTTTGAATGAATAATAACATGTTTTAATTTTTGGTGTAAATCAATCACGAGAAGTGTTACGTTAAATTGTTGCACTTTTTATTAGAAGAAACTTTCTTAAATATTGCTTGTTAGCTTAAAATATTAATTTGAGTGAAAATTTACCCACAATGTATCTGGGTTAACAAAGGAAGGTTCATCAGATGAAGGCGAATATAACTGTTATATTATCACTCAATGCCCTTTAGCCTCCCACCCACTTCACGATCGCTTCCTGCGTTGGGCGAATTGTGTTCAATTTTGTTTTCATAGCCAGACCTTATCAGCCTAGGATGTCCGTCGACAGTTTAGAATGCTTACACCTTCACAACGTCCAAGACAGTGAAACAACACTGGAAAAAAGAAATTTGAGTTGGCCTTCAAACTTCATTTTCCGTCTCGCTAAATTTGCATAATGTTGACGAAGGAGTTGAATTGTTGTGGACCGCATCCAAGTTAAAAAGGAAAAAGGAAAACTTGGATGACTGGGTCCGCTGATGAGCGAATTTATCCTGTGGGTTGCGCTATCCAACGTTTGAACAACCGGGGCCACTGAAAAGTAAGTAAAAAACGCTTCGCAACTAACATGAATATAATCATCTCTTGCATGGAAGATAATCTTAAACAAGTAAAACCCAAGCATCAATCTAGATAAGGTGTAAGATTTGCTTATTGACTGCCTAGGAGAGAAATTCCGAAGATAGATGGCTAAACTATTAATTAAAAATCGATTCGCATTCTTCAAACTAGCTCAAAATCCGCGAATTAACATCCTCTTCAAGAAAAATAAAACATCTATACTATGAAAAGCTGATAATGATTTGAAAGCGGATTAACGAGGAGAGGACTATTGAAAAAAAAAACATAAGACACAGGATATTTAGACAATATCCTCCTCGGACCTCCTCATGTTGCTTCCACTGTTTCCAGCAGGAGAGATTTCATTGCTTCTTTCACTGCTATCTTTGGTGCCTACAAAGAGCCGACCCGCCGCTTTGCGCATGTCCTTACTTCTCCAAAAGTATATAAGGGGGTTCGCGGAAGAGTTTATCAACAGCGCGGAGATGGCAAAATTCATCTCTGTTTTACTCTGATTGCTGCTGCTAAAACCAGTTATTATTTGCACAAGAACAGCTGGAAGAAGAAACAAAAGGAGAGTTAAAAAGATGTATACAATCGTAACAGCGCAACGCCTCTCTCGTCTGTAAACAAACAGGGCGCCGTTTTCCCCCGAATGCAATGAATGGATGCTGTTTCGTTTGAGGTACACCATTAACACCACCTGAACGACCAGCAGGTAGATGACCAAAAGGCCGGCGATAACGGAAGTTATGATTTGATTGCTATTCTCATCGATGCCTACGTATCGGAGAACGATAAAGCCTATCCAGATGGCCCATAGTATCGCCATGTTGCGTGCAGTCTGATTGGTTGTGACGTTGGCGCGGTATTGGAGGGGTTTTGAGACGGCAATTGAGCGATCGGTGCTCAAGTAGGCCAAGCAGAGAAATGAACCACCCGTACATAAGTAGAGAAATGCTTCGTACAAGCTGTGCAACAGGCCTGAGCTGCAAATGGTTGACGAGAAATGCAGCATCAAGCGCCACGCAATGAAAAGAGGCTGGGTGACTAGGCCGACCATTAGGTCAGTTAAGGCGAGGCAGCAAAGTAAGATGTTTGCTGGGATACGAAGTTCCCGAGTCTTGTAAACTGTTATTATGATAACAATGTTACTGAAGATAGCAAACACGGCAAACGGTGTGTTTATGGCGATGATGGAAATGTTGAGATGATAGTGATAAGACATACTGTCCAGCATCATATCCAGATTGCAGGGCAGTAAACTTGTCTGGTTCGTCGGTAAGATCTCGTTTGAGTTGTTTGTCATCCTCTGAAAACGATGTAAACGTTGAGATAATCTGTTAGCGAAGAAAGAGTTGCTTAATCCTGTCTTAATGATATTTAAAATAAAAGGAATATTCTATTTACGGGATAAAAAAAACTCATAACACGAAAGACACGAAAGCGCTTTTGTTTTTTTGTCACATGATTTACAGCATAAGTCACGTGACAAGCGTCCAAGTCCATTTCTTACGGTAGAGATTCTGCGATGGAATCGAAGGCTTGTGTATAATACGTTTTCTATCCTGTGAAATGAGTATTTTTTCTCACTAAATACTATTGAGATCATCAATAGGTTTTAAAATGCTTATGGATCATTAGTACAATTTCAATAGAAAGTATCCTTTCTCTCGACTGCCTAGAAGAAATTTCGTGTTTTTAGAAATCTCACTTAATAATTATAATAATGATAAACGCAAGTAGGCCAAGCCAATCTGAGGCCCGAAAATAAAGCTAGTGGCCAGCCAGAAAACTGGAAACCATTCAAATGCTCGCCCCATTTTCTTGATGGCTGCGATTCTCACGGGTCGGTGGAATAAATGGGCGGCAACTTTAACTGATTAATACCCATTTTCCCCGATTTTTGGACATCGGAAAATTCTGTAAAAGACTGCAGCTGGCACTGTCTCCAAGCAAAGAAAATAACGAGTAAATTTTTGTACTTCAAAATCTGATATCTCACATTCTGTGGTCTTAAGTTATTCTAATCAGAAAACTAAATTCTGGTAACTCATATACAACTGCAATTTGAGGAATGTTGCACATCAATTCGCATCACTCTTTAAACTTATTTCAAAAAATGCTACCTTCCGTGTCCTCTTATGTCAATTTCTTTTGCTGGTTTGATATCCTGACCTTAAAAGTGATCATTGATTTTTATCTCAGCCGAAGCTTCCGCACATAAATCGGTATCAAGAGAATATTAACAGCTGTTTGAAACATGGCGTAAGTATAATTATTTTGAAAATCGTCCTGTTGTTTCTGGCTGATAATTTGATAACCAGCTCTGCCCATCTTGTCCCCGTTAATACAGATTATGTTGAATAGTAAAGGCAACTGAAAATAAATGTTCTTTGCATGATAAGTAATCACAAAAGAAAGATAGAAGTGTACCTGTTATGATGTTTAAGAGAGTTTTTTCCCTTTTCATTGAAAGCAATGCCGTTTCTCTGGAGAAAATAAACCTTGCCGGACAATCTAGTTGCGGCGCTGTGCTTCCGTTTATGTTTTATTCAGTATCTTTTTTATATTCGTCATCTTTAATGAGCTGCCAACTCTACACAAGGGTATTGTTGTGGTACACGCAAATGTCCACAAAACGTGCAATAAATAAAAAAAAAATAATAAAAGAACTCAAAGTCCGGCCAAAAATTTTTGAGGTATTTATACTCGGAATTTTAACTGTTTGTCCTCGATAACTGCAACCGATTTTTTTTCCATTTTTTATGGTTTTTTGTTGTTGTTGTTGGAAAATCGTGCATAAAATGTATGCATGAATAAGAAAATTCATTTAAAATATGAAACTTTCAGTTATTAGGGGGAGGTAAGTCTTATTGTTTACTATTTTTAATGGTGCTAAAATGATCAAAATTGATACGAAAAGCTAGAAAATAGAAGGTACGAAAAACGTTACATTCTACAATGTGCAAATCACCGAAATCAAAAGACTTTTTGTCACATATTTTAAAAAAAGGAAAAAAATGAGGAAACAGCTTTCATTAGTTTCTTATTCACTTATAAGCTCTTGTTTCACTTTTATAGAATGTCTGGTTATGTCAACAATTAATCACAGAAAAAAGGGTTCAAAAGAGTTTTTGTGTATTGCTTTTTGTGTGTGTTGTTGTCGTCGGTTTTAGTATTATTATTGATAATTTTTCCCCCTTTTTTTTCAAAAACTGAAAAAAAAAAGATATGGTCAAAAATCAATTGCCAATTATTTTTTCTCCAATTTTCGTACGACTACGGTACTTTCTTTAACAATGGTAAAATGCTGCAAACTTTCCCATTTGTATGGAACACTTTACTTCAAAAATTACATGAGCTAGTCTAGCTAGTGTGAATTTACATTAGTTTAGTCTCGGCGTAGAGAGTACATGCAACTACTTGGTGAGATTCTATATTAAGCTCTAACACGTCTTTGGGAAAAGCAATTTCCTAGTAAACAGATACATTCAATTTTGAGACGTGACATTTGAGACAACTCGATAATTTTTCTCTTCTTGTTTCGACAAGATGACTTTTATCATTAGCACATTTCCTTCTAATTCGTACCAGTCATGGTCTTAATTGTGCACAATATCAAGTTAAACGTCATTCAATTATGCTAAGATGGCTAAAAATATATTTTTTCTTCGAATTTGTGGCGCGTAAGTGGCCAGTCCATGTATGAATTGCATGTTAGGGAGTTTTAAAAAGTTATGGTTGAATTCAAGGAAAATGTTAGGGGAATTGTACTTTTAATGCTTGAAAAAAAACAATGAATTGATATTCCACAAAATATATATATATCCTTTTAGGCTCGGTTATACCTTTATGACCTGTTATTAAATGAGATTTTAATTTGACTCCTTTTCTTTTGCCATGACGAAATTATGAAGATTTTGAAGAAAAGAAAGAAATTGACTTTAAGTTACTACTTTGTCAGTAGAAGTTAGAAAAATCCTATGCCGTCTTACCCCTTCATAAACGCAATGGCCGAATAAACGACCTGCTCCCGAAGAGAGTCAAAGAAAAATTTCCCCAAAAATATGAAAACAAATCAAAAAATAAATGGAACTATGCAACCGTTTTGCCATAGAGGTCTCATTTGAATGGTTTTCCCACAGAATTTCGTCCACAGATTTAAAACTTAGAGTGACAAATATTTAGAGGAATTAAAACAAGGTACGGCCAATGTTTCTGTCAAAAGTCGTTCTCGATGTATCTATAACATATAAATGAAAACCACCAGTCTATTTTCTATACCTAAACGTTTTATGCATGAAAAGGGCTACTTGTCTTATCTTCCCATCACATTTTTGTGACAGATATATGTTGAATCGTGGAACAGGTTGATAATGATGTCGTAGAGATCAGGCGTTGTACGTCTGTCTATTTTGACTTAACTTTGCTTCAAAAAAAATAGCGCCATGCTATACGCTGTCTATACACTCTTACCGTTTCCCCTAGCTAACCAGATGTAAAATAGTCCAGGCGAAAAGTGCAACCACAGTGTTTTGCTTTTTCAAATAATGTAAAAAAAAAAAATCGCGGAAGTATTCGCTCGACTTCAGTTTACAGCGTGAATGAAGAGTGTCCTTTCAAAATAAAAGGTGGTGCTCCAGTGTTGGTGGGGGCCTTAACAGACAACAACCTGGTTTTTCAACTACGTTAAGGGATAAAAAGTAATCTTCAACTTTTCAAGGACCAACCCTTCGTCAGAACGATTAGTTTCCAGCCGTGTGACTTTTTTTGTTCTCCATAATGGCCCCCATTTAATTCAGTTGGTAAAGCATATTGCTGGAAAGGTTCCTATTGTAAGACCTTTAGAAACAACTTCTTTCCATGTACATTCGCCGTACATTGTGGTTATGGAAATAAAACTGTTTGCTTCAAATTAAGCGATGTATTGCTTTTAGTGAATGCCTTTAAATGTTTTTTCACTGTCGCAGACGCTGAAAGTTGACAACTCTTTTATTTCGAGTTACCCAACCAAAAATAGGAAGCTCCAACACCGTTTGAAAATGACTAAAGAGGTCTAAAGAGGGAACCTTACCTTGAGTTCGGTATAACAGGTTTTTTAACTGTCCTTTCCGCAGTTCTGTTCTAAAATTGCACCTCTCTTGCAAAGAACTGATTTATGTTTGAATATCTAAAACGCCAATGAAACTTTAATATCATTTCTAGTTAACAAACAGCTGCAACTCCGAGCAACCGATTTTGTTTCATTGATTAACCGCTTTGGCATATTTCATTAGAAACCACACATTAAAAGTCATTTCTCCATCTGATTGAACCACTTAATTAATGGTTTCTGTTCTTGAAAATACGTGATATAAAACTGCAGTGTGTGAGTGATAGGCTTTTAATCCCTCATTCCCATTGTAGTGGGGGTCAAAATTATGGACAAATTCTTCATTACTATTCTATTAAGTCTGCAAAGAAGACATAAGCCTTTGTTTATTATTTGAATCAGGGCAAAACATTTTGGTCGAAGAAAATGAATCCGAATTTGTATTTTGTGATAGATATAAGGACAACCGGAAAAACGATACTGTAAAGAACTATTTCTGGAGGGAATTAAATTTTATTTTACGGGATGATTATTATAAGCGTAGGCGAAAAGGTCAATGAAACATATTCGTAAATAAAAAGAGAGAATAATGTTTAACTTAAAACGATTTTATAAAAGGAGATTGGTCTACCTTATCCCTCATAAATCGTCAAAGGTAATACGCATATGAAAAATAAATAAATAAATAAATAAATGTAACTTAACACATCCCCCGCAAACGTGGGGAAATATAACCTTGTAAACTTGATGTGGAAACGTATGATTCACTATTCGGATGAAATGTTGTTTATCACTTATAGTTGAATCCGCGAGCGGGCGAGATGGGATATTGGCCTGTTTCTTTCTTTTTCTTTTTCTTCTTCTTCTTCTTCTTCTTCTTCTTCTTCTTCTTCTTCTTCTTCTTCTTCTTCTTCTTCTTCTTCTGGCCAATTGCATGGGTGTCTGACAGTAAATCCCTGAAGAACGACCGTCGATACCGAAGCGAAATCAATTTCTTCAATATTTGTCGGCAGTTTATATTAAAGTGAACTGACAGAAATTTCCCTTTTTTTAGAAAAGAAAAACCCCATAATAATTTTTGTCGCCAGTATTGATTGAGATCGCAGAGACATCTGATATCTGTGATTTTAAAACTGAATTTTTTTACCATAAAACTGAAAAATATTTGTTTCCTGATTTTATACCGTAAGTATTACTTCAGCGTAGCATTTAGA